AAGCCAAAAAAAAAAAGACAAGTGAGGTAATGGACATGTTAATGAAACTGATTTAACAATTCCTTATTCTAAACATTACACTGTATCCCGTAAATGTCTAGAATGATGACTTTTAATTAAAATAATAAGAAATAACTTCATACCTCATGGTGAAGCAATCATGTTTGTATCATAAATTCTTAAAAATGCCTAAGGATTTTATGTATTTGCAAAACTGAAAGATAATTCTATATTAAGATTGTACCAATTTACACATTAAGTGAAAGAATGCCTTCTTATAAATCTTTGCCAATACTGAGTCAACAAACTTTTTGATCTTTGTGAACTTGATAAAAAAAAAAAATCACAGTGTAGATTTAACAGCCAACTGTACAAGTATGTATAAATAGGGTTTCTCGGATTTTTTGAAAGCCATCTAAAGCCCATTTGTGTTCATTTCATTTGCCCATTTTCCACTGAGCTCCTTGTTCTTTAATACACTGATCTTTCAGTTCTTACAGATTTGGATAATTAAAATGTATTTTTTTCACTGTAAAATGAGCGCAGATATCTTTACTAGTTCTGTTATTGTTGTTTTGCATTTTTGTTTGCTTTGTTTGCTTTTTTACTTATTGGGTTTTGCTAAGCAGATTTTTAAAAATTTGTATGTAACAATGTGTCAATCTTTTAAATTTATGCATTTGGTGTTACAAATGTAAGGACTGTGTGTACTTTTAGAATTTTTAAAGTTTTTTCATTAATTTCTTAGGTATTTAAATAGTTTCTTTTTTCAAAACAATTAAACATTCCAAGTGAAAATTCTGATGGATGTAGCCAACTATATTTTGTGTAAACTGCCCCATTGTCCCAACACCATTTATTGGATAACCCATCTTGTATTAATTTGAAAAGGCAATTAACTTAATGAATATCCAGAATCAATTATTTAACTCCAAATTATATAATTAAACTATATTTATTGAGATTTCTATTGTAAACAGTATTATTGGTTGATCTACAAAAGATGAGAATTTGGTTTACATACACCACCATTTCACTCTTACAATTTTTAGTAATTATATCATGTTCAATTCTTCTATTGGATCCTTTAACTTCTTTAGATATCTTACTTATACTTTTATTTATTGTTTTAACAGGTCTTATCAGTATCTAGGGTTATATTAAATAAGCAACAGGTCAATGGCCTGAGGTTGTCTGTGTACTTTGGGTTCCTATAAAAATAACTTTGACCTACTTTACTACAGAAATAAACTGATATTTAACTTAAGAGTCTAATTTCTCTAACAGATAGCTAGATCTCAGTCAATCACAAGGCAGCTAAGCTTCAGATGATCATAGGTAGTCAACTGATCATACCATCTCTAAATAAAGCAAACTCCTCACTATAGCCAATCAAGCTATTTCTCTACTTTTATTACTTGTTCTGTCCATAAATACTAATTGTCCATATTGCAGAATGGAGTTCTTAGAGCCTCTTCTGGTTCTGAGTGCTACCTGATTCATGAACCATTTATTGCTCAAATTAATTTTAACTTTTAATTTAACACTAGACCCTTACCACAAATACAAAGATAATAGAACATAGCAGTGTATGTAAGTTTGTTGTTGTTCCCATTCCACATTGTCCACAACAGCTCCCAGTATTATAATTATAACAATGATGATGATGATGTATATGCAGGATATACTCAGATTGACATTAAAATTTTCATTATACTTAAATAAATGAGTCCATACTGTTTTAAACAAGTGATTGAAAAAAATAAATAAATACAAAGAAATGAGAAGTCTCCATTCAGAAGAATTCCTAGTAGTAAATATGGAGAAAAGAATAGTGCTAGTCATCATTTTGTTGCTGTGATAAAATGCCTGAAAAACAACTTAAAAGATAAAAGGTCTATTCTGGCTCAGGGCTTCAGTGGTCCCAGTCTGTTGTAACTTGGATTTGGCCCCTGGTGAGGAAGGGCATGGTGAAGGAAAGATGCTGACTTTATGGCAGCCAGAAAGGAGAGGGAGAGAGAGTGAGACAGAGACAGAGACAGAGACAGAGAGAGGAAAGAGAGAGAAAGGGAGAAAGAGAGAAGGAGAGGCAGAGAGAGAGAGAGAGAGAGAGAAAGGGAAACAGAGATCAGAGTTCCACACTAGGCCTCACATCTTAAGTTTCCACCACCTCCCAACACCACCAATCTAGAGACAAAGCCTTTAACAAATGGACCTTTGGGAGACATTTCAGATCTAGACTATATGAAGTGTGACCAAGACATACGGTGAATGTTTAAACAAAAATCATGTATTACAGTAAAAAATACACTGCCATTAATCCCCCTCAAAATATGCCCCCTATTTTCAAACACACTTGTCCCATTGTTCTTGCCACTTTCTGAGACAGTTCTGGAAGTTTTCTTTCATGAGTGTCTATTTTAGTTACTTTCTCATGGCTAGGATGAAATACCCAACACCCACAAGTTAAAGGAGGAGAGGTTTATTTTGGCTCACAGTTTTTAGAGATTTCAATCCACAATCAGCTGGCTCCAGGGCAGGGTGGCATGGCAGAGGGGCATAGCAAAGGAGAAACAACCCATAGCATGGCAGGCAGGAGGCACCGCTCTTCCCTCTGCTTTCCCTTTTTATTCCACCCAGGATCTAAGCCTGTTAGTTGGTGACATTCACACCCAGTAAATTCATTCAGTCATACCCAGCACTAGGCTAAACAGTGGACTAATCAGAATCAGTGGACTAATCCGGTATCATATCCAGTCACTCCCAAAAGTCCCACCTATGACTACATGAAGCTTTGAGGGAACATCTAGATATTAAACGTAAGTGTCTTATGAGATATAATAAAAAATATGGTGAGTGCTGCTGCCTAGTGCCATCCAATGGAAAGGCAGCCTCATAAAAACATTATCCTGTGTCTCCATCCACCTTATTCAATGAATCCGCACTGTGCAGCTTCTGGTTCTTCCCCAAAGTGGAAGTGACCATGAAAGGAAATTACTATGTTTTAAATCAATGTAGAACATCACATGAAGGCAGCCATGATGCATCTAAAGACACTACAGAAAGAAAACTTCCGGAATTCCTTCAAAAAGTGGTAAGAAAAAAGTGGCAAATGTGTTCAAAGCAAGGGATGTATTCTAACATAAGTTACAGAGTTAGAACTTGATGGGGGGGGACTAAGAGCAATATGCCTTTTATAGTAATAAATTTGGGGGCGGGTATCAAGAATCGAACTCAGGACCTTGCATTTGCCATGTGTGGTGGCACACTCCTGTAATCCCAACACTCAGGAGGCTGAGGCAGGAGGATCGCTGTGAGTTCGAGACTAGCCTGAGCTACAAAGTGAGCTCAAGGCCAGCCTGAACCTGAACTGCATAGCGAGACTCTGTCTCAAAAAGACAAAAAAAAAAAAAAAAAAAAAGGACTTTGTGCTTGCCAGGTATATACTCAGCCCCAGTTATAAATTTTTTAAACTTAAACATTCACTATAGTTTTTATCACACAGCATAATCCCTATGGAGGTGTAAATTGGATCTTTGTATTGTTAGCCTGTAATTTTTTTTCCTAGTAAATACAAATGAAAAGTGGAATCTTTATTATACGCTTGCCAATTTATAAAATTAGTAGTGTTCAAAATAATTTTAATAAAATTAAATGGGATTTCGTAAAAACTGTTTCATTGCGGTAAATGAAATTGCAATTTAATATGCCATATTTGCAAATACAGATTCGCCATCATGCCCACAACTACTGCAGCAGGGAAGCTACACTGTGCTCTGCTGGCACCTCTCTCTTGCATGCTGTCAAGGGGTGTGTGAAACTTTCCCCCGCTTTTTGCTGGTCATTTAACGTACTTTTCAATGATCTTATAATGAGAGATACCAGGCGCTTGACATGTCAAGTTCTTTTTTTTTTTTTTTCTTGGTTTTTCTCCGGTACCGGGAGCCGAACTCATGACCTTGCACTTGCCAGGCAGGCGCTTTACCACTGAGCTAAATCCCCAGCCCCTGACATATCAAGTTCTAACTCTGTAACTTACGTTCTTCAGACTTACTATGGTTTCCCAGAAGTTGTATCTGTGTACATTCTTTCTTGGGCCCCTACAGGTGGCCTAGTTGGGCCTATAGGGGTTCCCCCCTCACTCCTTATGTGTAATTTCTGAGGTTTTGCTTTTCCAGTCCACTTAGTCAAAAAAATAATAAATAGAAAATGCCAAAAACAAATACTTCCTAAGTTTTAAAGCGTGAGCCTTCCTGTGCGGTATGATTACACCTTGTGCCTTCGCTCCTGAGATGTGAATCAGTCCTCTGTCCATCACATCTCGTGTATACACGACCCACCTACTCTCCATTAGAAGCCATCTGAATGATCGGGGGCTGTAATAACACTGAACGCTCATGTTCAAGTAAGCCTTATTTTAGTTAATAATGGCCCCTAAGGGCAAGCAAGCTTTTAATGCCGTAGGTTGTTATTAGCAACCATTGTTAATCTGTAATTGTGCCTAATTTACAAATGTAGTATGTATAGAAGATACAGTCTATGTAGGGTTCGGCACTGTGGGATTTCAGGGATCCAGCGGGGTGCTGCGATGAATCCTAGGGTAATAAGAGGACTACTACACTGCAGTTTCAGGGAGCACAGGAACATGTGTATTTGGGACCTTCTACCCAGTGCTAAGAGGTTCCTGCGACTCCCAAGTAACAACAGGTAACCGTTACTGGAAGCCCTTCCTCCCTCAATTCTGGGTCATTACGCAGCCCCAGGTGCTGGGGCGCTGATGTTCTGCGACCTCTGCTTGCTTGTAAAGGCGCACAGCCAAGTGCAATGCGCTGCGAGCACCTCAGACCACCCAGTTTGCCCCCACATGCCACCCCGGAGCAGGACGGCGACTCCACCTGGCGCCGCTCTGCTCCCGCAGCGCGGAGGTGGGGCCCCCCAGGCGCCAGCCCTCCCCGAAGCCCGAGGCCCTGCACGGAGGCTGCGCAGGCGGCGCCGAGGGCGGCCCGGGAGGCGGGGCAGGGTCTGCCCCCGCGAGAGCTGCGCAGGCCGCGGCAGCTCGCTTCACCGTCCCCTCGCTCTCGTTTTCTCCACCTGCCTGCCGCACCAACATGGGGCCTTCGCCGCGCACCCTGGAGCTCTTCTACGACGTGCTGTCTCCCTACTCCTGGCTGGGCTTCGAGGTGACTCCGGGGGAGCCGCCTGGGCCTGGAGGGCAAGGGCACCGGGACTGAGTCTGCTGAAATTCCTGCCGCCGCCCCTGGGTTAGATCAAGCAGAGTGTGCAGGGCTGGCGGTTACTTCGTGCTTTTAAACGGGTCAGAGTCACGGGCTCCAAACAGAGACCTTGTTTCTTAGGAAGGCACAGCCTTCCCACGGTGGTGGGAGAGAACAGGGCCAACCCGAGAATCCAGCAGAAATCCACGGCCACTTTTTGGCTGTCAGTTTTCGAGGGCAGGGTGCTGAACAGGAGGGAAATCATGGGCAGGGGCAAAGATCCTGAAATTGATTCTAGGCGTGGAGGACAGTGTGTCCTTTAAGCCGAACAGTCCAGAGTGCCCTTATCACCCCTGCCCTGCACTTAGAACCCCTGGCTAATTGGCTGCCAGGAGACAGCCCTTAGCGAGGTGGTTTCTGTCTTCCAGTCTAACCTGTGCTTTTTGCTTCCTCGCGGGGTAGGTCTTGTGCAGATATCAGAACATCTGGAACATCAAGCTGCAGCTGCGGCCCTCCTATATCGCAGGGATCATGAGAGACAGCGGTAGGCAGGGAGAAGCATTTGGGGCAGGGCTGGGGTGATCCCACCTCAGCGGGCAGCAGGAGCTGGCCTTAGCCGGCCTTTATATTCGCACCTGCAGCTGATACTGTAACTTGCACTCTGAGGCCCAGAGAGGGGTCTTTCTTCCCTCACCAGCCTGTCCAACTCTCCACCGCCAGGAAACAAGCCGCCAGCTGTGCTTCCTCGAAAAGCCCAGTACATGACAAATGACCTTAAGCACCTGAAACAGCATTTCCAGGTCCCCCTCAGCTTCCCCAAGGATTTCAACTCCGTGATTCTTGAAAAAGGTGAAGAGGGCAGGAGAAAGTGGGCCGCAGGGCTTGGGAGACTAACTTGGTGCCCCCTGCTGGGAGCTTCAGGATCAGAGCTGAACCAGCACAAGGCTGTGGGGTCAGTAAAAAGGGACCAAACAGGACGGGTTGGTAAAAGGTAGCGGACCACAGAGCCAGAGGCAAGTCAGAGCAGGGAGGAGTTGTTCTCCTTCCAGACACAAAGACAAGAGCTCTGCCTCTGGGTGCCTCTGTCGTGCAGGAAGTTTGTCTGCCATGCGGTTCCTCACTGCCGTGAACATGGAGCACCCAGAGAGCCTGGAACAGGTGTCCAGGGAGCTATGGATGCGCGTCTGGTCACGGGTGAGGGCTGGGCTCTGGGAACCCACTGAGGGACGCTGGATGGCTCTCTGACCTTCCCCAGGCCCATTTCCAGAGTAACAGTCCTGCCCTCCCTTACTGTCATCTCTCTGTTTTTGCTACTCCCTTCCTGCTGAGTGTCCTCTTTTCCCAGGATGAAGACATCGTGGAGCCCCAGAGCATCCTGGCTGTGAGTGACCTGGCCCCGGCCCCAGTGCTGTCCTGGGGAATCTGAGAACAGCAGGTCTTGGGGGAAAAGAGAACAGTGGCTCTCACATTGCATGAAAGAGCTCACAGTGATTTGTGGAGGAAAAAATGTGTTAGAGGGAACAAATTACTGGAAAGTTGGCATGAAGAGGGTGCTCAGAACTGTGTTAGCAGGTGGGGATGTAGCTCAGTGGTAGACTGTGTGCACAGCACTTTTTACTGACCCCACAGCCTTTCTTTCTTGATGAAAGAAATCGGTGGGAGAGAGATGATCCTATCTGGACCCCAGGTGGGAAAGGATGGCGTGTTCACAAGTCTCCAAAGACTCCACCACAAAACTCACCAACAACTGTATATTAGAAAGCAAGAGATTTTTATAAGAGGCTTTAAAAAGACAAAAAGAGCTAAGTGACAAGTGTCAGAGTGACAGCAGATGGAAAATGCCCTCAAAGCATTGAACACAGAGCGTACAGATGGAGTTCTAAGTCAGGCATTCTGTGAAGGAAATCACAGCAAACTGTTCCTCCAGTGTAGAGATGACAGCTGAGGCATACTGAGAGTGAACATGTGAAAGGCCAGACCACACCAAAGCTCAGTGTTCAAAAGCCTGCCCGCTACATCTAGTGTCTTTGTTCCTGCAAATAAATTTTTTAGCCTGCTTTTTTGCTGAATACTTAAAAACCCTTTTCCATGCCACTTTTGACTTCCTGAAAGTACACTTCTTTTCTACATAGTTTTCGAACCAGTGGCCTGATTTCTGTTGACTTGGCCATTTTCCTATGGTTGGCCTTTTGTCTGAGACACAGTCCGCTCATTTAATTTGCCAAGGCCGTGGCTCATTACCATGCGCTTGGCAACCTCCAAATGTAGGTCAGGGGCCGGGCGTGGTGGCACAGGCCTGTAATCCCAGCAGGTGGGAGGCTGAGGCAGGAGGATCGTTGGGAGTTCAAGACCAGCCTGGGCTACAAAGTGCGCTCAAGGCCAGCCTGAAATGCATAGTGAGACCCTGTCTCAAAAAGACAAAAGAGAAAAAACAGAAACAAAAACAAAAACAAACGTAGGTCAGGTTGCAGTGATTCTCAGCTAGGGCTGTCTGTCAACATCACCTGTCCCACCTGGTCCCAGCCTGGGGACTCTGACGTGGTCATTCACTAGGAGTGGCCTCCACGTTATGGTTTTTTAAAGCTCCCTAGGAGAATGTGACATGCACCAGGCTTGAGAACTACTGGTCCCAAGCTTTAATGACCACCCATAAGCCAAAGCCTTTATCATTCCCTTGAAGCCAGGCGAGGGGCTGCTACCATGACACTGTGTCAGAGTCCTCAGAAATTCCACAGAAATTAGACCTCAGCCCTTGATTTGAAAAATGAGTTATTTAGGAAAGCTGAGAAGTGAGAAAGTAAGCACCCTAGACTTGAAGTCTAGAGACTTAGAGATTTGCACCTCTGAGCAAGTGATGGGTCACCTCTGACCAGAGTCTTCAGTGTGAAATGAAGAGGTGGGACTAGGCGGTCTCCACGATGCCCTCTGATGTTCACGTCCCCCAGCTGCGACTCTGCCCACTGCTCTTTCTACTCATTTCAAATTTTGGAGAAAGAGGGGTTTCCCTTGACAGGGATAGACTGCTGCTTGAGCTTGGGGAAAGGCATTGCCAGGAAAACTTGGAAATAGCAAAAAAAAAAAAAAAGAAAAGAAAAGAAAAAGACCAGAGTTTCCTGAGCTTCTGTTTGCATAGTACAGATAGAGCTGTGTCCCCTGCCATGTGCCCTTAGGCAGCGCAGAAGGCTGGTTTGTCTGCAGAGAAAGCCCAAGACCTTCTAGAGAAGAGCTCCATGGCACAAGTGAAGAATCAGCTCAAAGAGACCACTGAGGAGGCCTGCAAATATGGGGTGAGAACTCTCTGTGTGTTCCCAAGTCCTGTCCCGAAGAGAGAGACAGTCTGTTAGGCAAGGGGCTCCACACTCTGCCCAGAGGCCCCTCCCTCACGCTTCCTTCCCAGCTCTCCCAGACAGCCCTCATCTCCTCCCCTTCCTCTACCTGAGCCGGAGAAAAGCAGGGAAGAAAAGACAGAGCCTCAGTGTCACAAGCAGAGAAGGTACTTCAGTCCATGGTTACAGACCTCCCCTTGGCTGCTGGGCTGCTGTGACCCCGGACCGTTGTTGCCTGAAAGCCGTGAGTGCAGCCTAATAAGCACCTTGCCTTCGTCCCGGTGCTCTGCTCCCCTCAGGCCTTCGGGTTGCCCATCACTGTGGCTCATGTGGATGGCCAGACGCACATGTTATTTGGCTCTGACCGCATGGAACTGTTGGCGCACCTGCTGGGTAAGTTCCAGTTCCCACTCGGAGCTACCTTGACCTTCAGCAAGCCTCTTCCCTGAAGCCAAGCGGCGCTCTTTCTAGAAAATTCCTGGGTCCTGTGGGGCCACCCCTGCTGCAACACACCTGAGAACAGTGTGTAGACATGTCTGATTTTCTTCATCCAGGAGAGAAGTGGATGGGCCCTGTGCCTCCAGCCCTGAATGCCAAACTTTAAGACTGTCTGGAAGCAGCCAGCTGTTGGTATAAACAAGCAGGCCACCTGCTCAAGGTCCCTTGATTTGTCAGTTCCATTGGGAGCGTCCCTACCGGGCTGCCTTTCCTCTGCCTGTCCCCAGGAAGGGGTCTACCATTGGCTGTGGTTGCCTTTACATCTAAGCTTCACACATGCCTTATGCGGAAACCCAAATTCTTCTTTTCCACAAAATAAACCTGAGGTCATGAGCCAAAACCTTTCTGGGTCTGGTCTGTCCTGGTGGTGCTGGAATACTCTCATTCCCATAGTCACATCGTGCCTGCCCTTGGGAGTCACACAAAGAAGAGCTCTTTTCCGATTCAGGCCCCCAGCCCGCCAGCCCACCGTGGGGTAGCTGTGCGGCACACATGGCAAACAGACCCCCTTTCTCTCCTTTGGAAACCTGTTTGTCTCTGGGTCAGAAGACTGAGCCCCATAGACTTGCTTAACTAACCAGTTTGCCAGTTATGTCTCTGACCAGCCACAGTGATGGGGTGGACAGTAGTACACACAGTGGATGGAACCAGAGAATGGCCCAGCCTGTGCCCGGATGTTTAGAGGAGGTCTAGCCACCTGGACCAGCAGAACCAGGGCAAGCTACAATACAGGGAGACGGTCAGCTTTGCGTGCCCAAGGGCACTTGCTCACCACCCCACTGGCCCTCCCTTGACTCACCACACAGACACTGAGAACACCTCTGGGCTTCTTATCCTCCACTGTAGAATCCATTTCCTTCCACTGCCATCTAACTTTCCCATCCCGTGGTATGTATCCAAGTCCCTGCTTCAGTCTATGCCCCCTGAGCATTGGTCAGAGTCCTGTGAGTTTCTGTAGTGTTCTCAGTTGGCATTCACTCTTTCTTCTGAAGCTCAGACCACCCTGGACACCTGTTAGAAACTGGGCACACAGCCTTCCACAGTGCTGGGGGCCTTGGGGGCTGAGCATCGGCTTCCCTTTGCCTCTCCCTCTGGCTCTTCCTCACCTCATACCCCATTTCCCGCTTTTATGCCCAGCGCTTTCCTCTACCCCTTTCTCTTGGTCCCTGCATCTTCCAGGATTTAAAATGACCCACAGTTTCTGTAAGTAATACCAGAAGTCCATGTCCAGTACTTTTGAAAAAGTATTCCCTTTTTCAAAGGAACTTTGTGATGTGTACAGCTAACATAAAATAAAAATATGGCCAAATGGCCAATCTTTATAAACGTAAGGGCAAAATAAAACAAAATATAGCTTCTTGTTGGTCAGAGCTACCCTGAGCATGGCAAATGCAGTTTTATTAATAAAGGTGGTTGTCTCTGAGCTATTTGTTCATTTCCAGAATTTTAATGGCTTAAACTATGACAGCAGGAGGATACTTCAATAAATTATGGTACATCCAGGGGATAATGTCTCACAGCCTTCAAAAACTGTGTTTGTGAAGAAATAAATTCTTGTTCAAGTTTAAAAAAAAAAAACCGTGAAGAAATTTTGAGAACATTGGAAACTCTTAAGATATAATGATAGTTGGAAAAAATTAAACCATATAGTCTGATCTCAGTATGTCATAAAAATGCAGAGGCTATTAATATATCAATTTTACTATACAAATTTGGTACAGTGCTGCTCAAGGCTGGATGGGGAGGGCTCTGCTCCAGAGGACAGCCCTCTGAAGCCCTCTGGACCTCAGAGCAAATCTAGGCTCTCCTGGTCCTGTGGGGTCACCTGCTCACAACACACCTGAGAAAAGTGTGTAGATGCCCGTGATTTATCCAGGAGAGAAGTGCCTCCCACCCTGAACGCTAGACTTTAAGACTGTCCAGGCAACTGCTGGCATGAACAGTGGTCAAGAGAGGGGGTCCACAGTGTCCACCAACAGATAAGTGTATGAAGAAAATGTGGTGTAAATATATCATGGAAGAGTCTTCAGTCTTGAAAAGCAATTCCATTTGCAACATTGTGGATGAGGCTAGGAGGCATGATGCTAATTGAACTAATCCAGGTCTAGAGAGGCAGACACTACATGATCTACATGTGGAAACTAGAAGATGTCAAATTGAACCTACGTAGAGGGTAGAGTGGTGGCTACTGGGGGCTGGGGGTGCTGGGGGAGGGGACTGGGAAGATGTTGGCCAAAGGGTCCTGAGGACTAAGTTTTAAGATCTATTGCACATGCTGGTGATCATGGCTAATAATAATATGTTGCATATTTCCAAGTTGCTAACAAATATAATGATTGGATGTTTACATTTTTAAAAACTCATTATACTAAATGACACATTGCCAAAAAAATGTGGTAAGTGTGTTCAAAGTATTTTGAGGGGATTAATAGCAGTGTGTCTTTTACTGTAATAAAATGTTTACTTAAACATTCACTGTATTTTTGAACACTCCTCACTGAATCAAATATTTATGGCAATGTCTGTCAAGTAAATATATCAATGTGTCCTCATCCACCTTACTGACTGAACCCAGCACCGAGTGCTTCTGGCTTTTTCCCGGAGTCAAAATGACCATGGACGGCAAACGTTCTGAATGAGTTCAGGACATTGAGGCAGCCACGACAAGGCAACTAAAACCATGAACAAGGTCTTCCAGAACTGCTTCAAAAACTGGCAAACACAACATAGTGAATGTGTTCAAAGAAACAGGGAGTATTCTGAGGGAGATTAATGGCAGTGTGTCTTTTACTGCCAGAAAAAATTTTAAATTTAAACATTCAACATATTTTTCAATATACCTCATATTTTAAGTGTTCTCATTACATAAGAAGTGATAAGTGATGATGGGTATGGTAGTAAGCTCAATGTCATTTCCAGAACATACACACATATATGGAAATATCACCTCGTGAACCCAATTACGTCAATTAAAGATGCAATGTTAAATTGAAAATAATAAAGTATTACATAAGTACTGTCAGAAAGAGAGTGTCATGAGATTCTGACATTCCACACTTACACGCTGTCCCCACTCACTGTGCGCACAAGGCCAGCTTTATGAGCTTGGAACTACATGTTCACACAGGGCCTCGCAAGTGACTGAACGCTCACTAGCTTTACACTGAAATCCTTCCGGTGGTGGATTGACAACTGGTGGTCAACTTGTAACACCCAGCTGAACGGAACCATTGTGGTGCTGGGTGTGGGAGGCCCACCTAGGTACTACTGCCAACAAAATAAAAAGGAAGAAGTTGTTTGTTTGTTTGTAGGAAGCTGTTAGGGAGCTGTTGGTCCTCTTGGAGGAGCTTGTCATGCTGGCTTTCCTGATGAACTTGGCTGCTCTCATCGAAGGAAGAGTTTGGGACCTCTTTGTCACTGAGAATGACTATGGTTCACTTTGGGGGAGCTCTGGTCCTCACTTTGAGCATCGCTTCTTGGCTCTGGAGGGGAAGACAATGCACTCCTCACTCTCCTGGAGAAGCTTGTCGAGTTGGCTTTCCTGATGGGAGCTCAGCTGTTCTCATCGCCGGAGGAGCTCAGGACCTTATTGTCACTGCAGATGGCTGTGATACCTTTCCAGGGAGCTCTGGTTCTTATTTTGAGCATCACTTCCTGGCTCCAGCCTGCTAGCACAGCTTCTTCATCCCACTGGCACAGACTTTCTAGATTCTACCACTGACCTTTGGGCCTTGCCAGTGCAGATCCATGAAACAGGCCTGTGTAAGACGTTGTCATGGGTTCTCGGCCTCCAGTTAGGCTTGTCGGGGCCATTGTTACGGGCTCTAGGTCGTCAGCTGACTCATACAGGACAGTACCGTGGGATCCAGGCCCTAAACTAGATCTTTTGGTCTTTAGTGTGTGGACAGATCTGTCCTCTCTTTGTATATGACTCTTTGGGTGACTATTACAATCTTATAAACTATGTGTCCTGTATTATTCCCTTGCAAACCCCAAACTACAACACTTCCTAATTTTTTAATTTGTGGAGCTTCATTTTCATTTTCTACTGTACTACACACATCATGTGGCTGGGCCTTATCCTTGAGTACATCGTACATTTTGAATAAAGGTTTCTAAGGAAATGGAGCAAATAGTCCCCTTCTAGGTATCTTCCTGAAAGAGCTAAAGACATCATATTAATACCTGTGTTTATAGCACCACAACTCAAAAGGGCTAAATCTCTATGTCTACCAACCCATGAATGGATAAAGAAAATGTGGGATTTATACACAATGGAGCACTACTCTGCTGTAAAGGATAAAGTTGAGTCACTCATAGGAAAATGGGTGCACCTTGAGACCATAATGTTAAGTGAAGTAAATCAGACACACAAGTTTCTCTTAAGAAATCCAAAGTAGAAATAAATCAAAGAGGAAAATAAAAGGTAGATGATAAGAAATAGGGAGTTGGATCTTTTTCAAATGGGAAAAGGACCGAGAGGAGCGAGGGGGAAGAAGGGAGAGGAGAGGGTTGTAAAAAGAACTCAGATGTGCTGTGTACATGGACCAACTTCCCACGAGGAATGTGCTCACGATGTACTGCAAACATGGACTGATAAAAATAAAAATTAAAAATAAATAAATGGGCCAAAGAAAATGGCAGAAGGTGAGAAAAAGACGGAGATAGTAAGGTCCGAAGAGAGGGAAAATCACAAAGTATTTGAAAAGCAGAGTGCAGGTTGCAGGCAAGGGTGCTCTGAGAGGGGCGGGAGGTTGACAGAGGAAGTGGGGCGGAGGTGGTAGACGGGAGCTTGGGGCTCGTGCTTAGATTCAGAGGAGCCATCGTGCTTCATTCAGCTGCTCTTCTCAGGCACAGCAGGAGTGTGAGCAGAGACAAGGGGTCCCTCAGGCCCTAGGGCAAGAGGACACTGTCTCCTGCTCTTCACCCCAGACCAGGGAGTCCTTTCCAGGTCTTTGGAGGAGAACTGAAACTCTCAGTTGCAATCAGACCAACTCCTTTTTCATCTCTCTTATTTTATTTTTTTTATTTTAGATACTAATTTATACAGTTTGAATTTTGAAACCAACGTAAAACAACATGGACAGTATAATTCTATTTTCTAGATAAAGGTAGATTCATCTATAGAAAGACAACTTTAAGAAAGTAAGAGACACATGTTATTGATGTATTTATAACAAGAGTAATATAAGATCTGCAATTATATAAACTAGATATTTGCCAAGGTTATCTATGGTTGGCAGGGTTACATTTTATAATCTTGTTTAATAATCTTTTATAACCCTTTTGCTCACTGTACATTTATTACTAATGTGGTTTTTTTAATTGAGGACAAATAAA